TGGTTATAATAAACTAAATGTGGCTTTTGAAGGATATTGTAACCCCATCATTTTACTGAAAATGCTCAAAGGCAGTATTTTAAAAACAGCAGCATGTGCCCAACATTCTAATAACACACACAGATACAAAACTAAAACACACATTAAAGGAAATTGAAAAGAAATGATCAGGGCCAGTAAATGACACAAAGATGTTGGTAATACTTTTTCAGTAACTTGGTAAAGTCTCCTAGTCTTCTTGACAAAATGTGCAGTTTGAGCTAACACATTAAATATCTGCACCCAAACTCTGATTATCATGCATGGTTTACTACACTTGCCCAAGACTGTCTATTCCCACGTCAATGCTCTTCATAATCAAGGACTTCTCCCCTCTTCATTACCCTAGTCACCACTCCTTTCCCAATCTCATTAAACAGATAACCAAGGATGAGCTGGGCAATATGCTAAAATATAACCTAGCCAAAGGAAGTTAAAAATGTTCTTCCAAGTTTAGTCCTTTTCAAAAAAAAGAAGCTAACTAAAATTATTGTACCTATTTTGTTTAGCTATGTTAAGATTTAAGAATTGGCTTTATTTTTGTGAGCAAAAGCAACCATATAAACCACATATGGAACAATTCAACTCACAAATTTTTTTTTTTTTTTGCCGTACGCGGGCCTCTCACTGTTGTGGCCTCTCCCGTTGCGGAGCACAGGCTCCGGACACGCAGGCTCAGCGGCCACGGCTCACGGGCCCAGCCGCTCCGCGGCATGTAGGATCTTCCCGGACCGGGGCATGAACCCGTGTCCCCTGCATCGGCGGGCGGACTCTCAACCACTGCGCCACCAGGGAAGCCCTCAACTCACAACTTTTAACCAGTAAAATGAACTGTGAAAATCTGAAATTTATGCAATATCAGTATCGATTTTCATAACAGACACAGTTGCATATGGCTACATATTTCACGCCCATTTTGTCCAGATGGTTTTCAACTTCTCTTCACTGGTACACCAAAACCCAAGGAAGAAGGATACAGGAACAGGAGGAGAAAAAAAATTGCGGGTGGGGGCAAGTTATGATATCCACCGGATATATATATATAGCAAAACCTGGCTTACCTCAAAAATACAATTCTGCAGCACCACCTGATAACCACACTGTTTGCAAACTCTTGTCAGTTCACAAGAACGACACACAGTCAAAACAGGAGGTCCACAGGCAAGCTAAGCCCAGCTGCAAGATCGACAAGTGGACAGCTCCACCCCAAGAGATTACTTTTCAATGTAAAATTATCCTGGCTTTCCTCTGACAGCTATCCAACAGCACTTCGGTTTTTGTCGTGTTTGGCAAACTTTCCAAACTGACTTCAATATATTAGATGTGGATCACTTTGCCAGACGAATATCTCAGAGCAACAATGGTTATTGAATTTTGAAAAATGCTATAATCTGGAAAAGTGAAAATTCAGCATTATGTATTAGAACTAGGTTGGAACACTAAGGAAATCATTTACTGGATACATACCTTTTGTCAACTGTTACTCTAATTGACACTGTTCAAAAGCCAATATGAACATCATATGAATTAATCTTCTCTTCCCTCGAACAAAACCCTAATTGAACAAAAGGGTCCATGACTATTAGCACCCCCCGCCCCACTTTTTTGTCTAAGATAAACAACTACGTATAATTCCCCCTCCTCTATTCACATTTGGGCAATTCTAAAATCAAGTTTTTCTCGCCCCTAAAAGATACTTATACAAAGTATGTTGTGAATTGCAGTTTCTAGTTTATCTGCACTTAAACCCACTCATTTGGACCTCTTAAGAAGACTTATATAATAATAAAAGCCTAAATCATTTTTGCATCTTTCCAATACCTACTAAAAATGCAAATTCAATGTTTATAATGTACTAAGTGGAAGCCCAAATGCTGACTTTCAATGAATAGGTAAGATATAATTTGGGTTTACCTGCTAGAAAGGTGTCTAGATAATTTATTAAATTCTTTTTCTGTTTGTCAAGTACAATCTTTACTCACAGGTACTACCAAAGATCAATCTAGAAACGGTAAAATTATGGTTCCCATTATTTGTGGTCTCTAATGAGATTTTACAATATTAATATTCAAGAGCATACATTTTTAAGGATGCAAATTTCTACTCCTCCATACCCAGAAATTAAATTTTATTTTATTTATTTATGTTTTGCGGTACACGGGCCTCTCACTGCTGTGGCCTCTCCCGTTGCGGAGCACAGGCTCCAGACGCGCAGGCTCAGGGGCCATGGCTCACGGACCCAGCCACTCTGCGGCATGTGGGATCTTCCCGGACCGGGGCACGAACCCGTGTCCCCTGCATCGGCAGGTGGACTCTCAACCACTGCGCCACCAGGGAAGCCCAGAAATTAAATTTTAATCCAACAAAAGCAAATAGACTTTTATCACTTATAGAGAACACAGAAATAAGTCCTGAATATATGTATACTCCATATACCTTACTAAGAACTTAAAAGAAAATGGAATTACTTATTTCACGGCAGGCTGCAAGGAATAATTATGTAATGAACGACAATAAGAAAAAGCCACTTATCATATAGTCTAGTCTTTATTGAAAGACTTACTTCAACTGTTGTTTACAGCTTTGGCTTACGTTGGCCAGTCATTTTAGCCTCTCACTGCCAGCAGACATAAAAATCAAGTGGTAATGGCACGGGGGGAAATACTAGTAGAGAGATGAGAGCAAAGAAGATGGCAGTCAGAAACACATCACCAAAATAAATCTCAGAGTGATTATGAAATAAACATTTTCTTGCCTGCCGAAGAATCTCTGCTGCTGTTTTTAATGAACATGGAAAATGCAACGATTCTTAGGCTTAAATTGGATCAAGATAGCACTGACTTCACTTTGTGTTATAAAATAGTCTTGAATAGCTTGACAGTTGTATTTTAAAATGGTGCATTTCATCTGGATAAGTAGCTTTATTTTTTAAAAACCATTTAAAATGAAATAACTTCCATTAATTGAACTGAGCATGTAATCTTGTTCTTTCAGATAAGATGAAGGACACTTCAGTCGTATGTTTACTATGCAATATAACTAGTCTGCATCATTTTATTAAATCATAGAATATACAAGCAGCTATATTTAGCTGGTACTGTATTTAGCTACTTAATTTACTGGCAGACCAAAAAAGGTAAATTGAGACTTTAACAGACTTTTCTCAATATATATATATAAAAATCTTTAGTTCAAGTTTCATATATATTTAAGAAATTTTAACTAGGAGGTATAATTAATTTGAGTGTTCTCCTTATAAAATATAAAGTAACTTTTCCATAACATCCCCCAAAGACACTAACCACGAACAAAAGAAATAAGGGTAAATTTTATAATAGAAGAGTGTAGTAGATGAGTACTGTGGTTAAAACTAAAGTGCCATAAAAAATTTGGCCCGAAGATGAACAACTTCAGACCCTGTAAATTTTCATGTTCAACACATTTCTAAATGGCGGAAGAAGGAAAATACCAAAATTATTGTGGAGATCAATTTATAAAACCATCATTATTTTAAAGCTAACTGTAAGATGTCAAAAGTTTAAAAAACAGTAATCTGTGGGTGCTAGCTGAATCTTATTACTTAACTGTAAAGAGTTTTCTCATTTTGGTGCCCAGACCTCAGAACATTTCAAATACGCTGCCTAAACATTTGCACCCCCTAGCTGTCAGAACTCAAAAACAAAGGATTTTTACTTCTTTTACTTTCCTGCTATGATAGAAATTTGAGGCAGATTTTATGCACATGGCCTGAAAAATACCTCAGAAGCAAATGTCAATCTTACCCAATCAATTCATTTACAAACTCTGCACTCATACAACTCACAGCCTCTGTTCAGGTTTGTCATCCCATGCACACTACCCACAAGGAAAAAATTAATTAAGTCACAACTCTGTATACTATTTAAGTTGAATATCCAATTATAAATTGGTACATCAAACTGTCTAAATAAGATGTTTTAGCAATCTTGTTAAAAAAATTCTCGGGCAAAATATATCTAATTTTAAAAAACACCCCAAGATTTTTTAAAAACACTGTACTATACAACTTATAGGAACCTTGAAATAGGTTTACAAGGTTTTAATCAAGGTATTTACATACCAAATGATGTAAAGCAAAAAAAGGAAAAAAAAAAAGAAATCTAATTTCCAATGACATTTTAAAATGTACTAATGCATCAAAGATTTGTATGAAATTAAAATTAAGGCTTTTTCTGTATAGTAATTTGTATAATTTTAATTTTACATAGTAGCCAACCTTGGAAATGTCAGTCTTAAACATTCTTATTCATCCACTGCATTCAATGCAGTGGAGTGTGTTAAGTGTTACTTCAAATAATTACATTGCTGCTACTTCTATGTTGAAGCATGCTTTTTAAACACTGTATTCAATATTTACAATGTATATCATTTAAACTTCATGTAAAAGCATAAGAATGACTGTCTGACTTTAATACAAACACCATACTTGGAATTTTCCCCCCAAAATGAAATGTAATTTACTACAGTTTTAATAATCAACACTTTTTAAAGTTTTAAAAATATGTCTTAATCTGGACCACCAATATTTGCTCAAGTAAGTCAGACAATGCTGTTCCTTATTTAGGTTGCAAAATTTCTTTTATCAGTCTGGCTTCAGTTTCTTTAGGCACAGAGAAAGTATTTCCTCCAAAGCGACTCCAAAATCATGCATTTCTTCTCAATATCACACTTTTTTTCTGCTGACTTCAAATGTGGTCCACCTTGGGGGAGGGGAGGGGAGTATCAAGGTTCAAGATGAACTTATTTGTCATTCCCAGTTTTCCATGATCCTCCCTTTTTTGCTCTTTTAAAAACACAGTGAGTTAAAATACTGAACAGCAAGATAAAAATGGAATAGTATCTAAGAGTCAAAATGTATTACCCATTTCTCCTATTATATCAAAATTTGTAGTCAGAATTGTCTTAATTGACTTTATTGTAGTTTTTGTACACAAAGAAAAATCATGTTCATATCCATCATGAACAAAAACTTAAAAAGGCAGAACTAGAAGACATGTGTCCTTCACCAAAGCAAAGCTGTGCTAAAGGTTCCAAACATTTCAATTTTTAAAATAAATATTTTCATTTTCCGATGTCTACTTTCATGTCTTCAGAGTGTCACGAGGAAATTGAAGCTATCATGAATTACATTTTGTTTAGAGTCCCAGCTCACTGCGTTTGGTAACTGGCCATGCCATATCCAGCCTGGTTGGGAGGAGGTATTACAGGGGGAGGGGCTTGTCCTTGGGGAGGCTGAGCACCAAATCCACCCATCCAAGCAGCTGAAGGTGATTGACTTGGAAGAAAAAAAAAAAAAAATCTTCAGCAAATGCAAAGAAAAAATTATCTATACAGTTATAGAAAAGTCAAGCAGAGCCTAATCATAAACAAGAAATCAACATACTTAAAACAGCAAAGAAATAAATCATATATATCCATATATGCAAAATATATATTCCAATATTAGTCTTAAATTTTTGCTAAGATAACATATGACTTCTCTGAAAAGTATCTCAAAACTGATTTTTTAAAAATGACAAATGATTCAACTCATCATCTACCCACCATATATTGCACACATGGTATATCAATTTATAAACAATTTTAAAAACACAAGTTTACTTTGTAAACAGGAGGAAGAACTGGTGAAAACAAAGGTTTGGGCTGGCTAGAAAAAGCACAAGGGACCAACGCAATCTATCAATAAAGGAAAAAAGTGAGCTACTTTATATTAGATAAATTTCAGAGACTTCTCACACAAGCCAACAGGCATAAATCATTAAATTGCTGAACATATCCAGACAAAGATCTTTTCCATGAAAAAATAAACAAGTAGATAAAACAGTATATTAGAAATGTAAATCAAATTCTACCAACTGCTCAGATAGGAGGACACATCACATGTTACCCCAAACTCCCTTTCCACCTAGATAATAAAAAGCAAATTTTTAGCATTACAATTCATTTTTCATAAGGTTTCTACAATGCTTATAATGCCACAGAGTTAATGCCACATAGTTCAATGTATTTAGTTTAAATAGATTCTCCCTAGGAAAACACACTTTTTAATTCCTTTTGTCGGAACTATATGTGTTTCTATACTGGAAAAACTCAAACAACTTACTCTACTCCAAATCCTTGTTGATTCCATGGTTGCCCATATACTCCATAAGGTGGTACTTGCCACCCATTTGCCATATACTGTCCATACTGTTGTGGGTTTCCATAAACTTGGCTCCACTGGCCCCACTGACTATAGTCGACCTAGGAAAAAGCAAATTACTGTTTTAGGGAACAAGTAAGAAACACAGTATTTGAAGAAAGTGGGAGACAAGGAAGAGAAAAACTAAGCACCCTTATGTGAATAGGACTCTGTTATTTATCATTGTCTAAGTTTATTGGGGTGGTGACACCTGTGAAAAGAAAGTATTAAGATTCAGTTAATACCGCAAAATAATCACTTTTGAAATAGCATTAATAAAATCAACTGAAAGCAGCTACATGCTTTACTTTTTTGTTTGCTTTCTTTTACAATTTCTAAAGCTTTTATGTAGATATGTAAGAAGGAAACCTTAAAAAGTGCTATGAAAAATTGGATTACCTGTTGGAAGTTTTTAGTCATATCAGGAGATTCTTTACCCCAATAGCATTTAACAACATGTCCTTCAATTGTAGTACCATTCACCGAAACAATGGCATGGGCCGCACTTTCATGCGTAGAAAATCTAAGATGAGAATGAAGTTTTTTGTTTTTTATTTTTTTAAGTACTTAGTAAGTAATACAAAAACTCCTTAATTTGTAAGTATCAACTTGGTATTTTCCTAAAGTACATCACGTAGGAGTTTAAAGTTCTACATTGCAAAGAAGTACTAAAATAACAACCTCTGATACCTGAGGGGATCAAATAGTATAACTGAAAGGAATGGATCAAACGTAAGGTAGGATTTTACCTGACAAATGAATAGCCCTTCTCTGGAAAAACTCTGATTTCCATAATTTGCCCAAATGGTGAGAATGTCTGTCTCATAAGCTGATCTGAAAAACAAACATACAAATAAAATATTTAAGGTTCATGTTATCATGAAATTGCTTCTAATAATGATGAAGCTCCAGAGAAGGGGATTAGAAAAACCAGACACTGTACCTGTTAACCCAGAAGCAATTCCTCCACAGTACACAGTACAATTTTTTGGGCTTGACTGGTTTACTACATCTTCAAATCTCAACTGCTTAGTGTTATCTATATGCAGAAAGAAAACAAAGATGTTGATGGGGCTTCCCTGGTGGCACAGTGGTTAAGAATCTGCCTGCCAATGTAGGAGACACGGGTTCGAGCCCTGGTCCGGGAAGATCCCACATGCCGCACAGCAACTAAGCCCATGAGCCACAACTACTGAGCCTGCGATTTATAGAGCCCAGGAGCCACAACTACTGAGCCCGCGTGCCACAACTACTGAAGCCCACACGCCTAGAGCCCGTGCTCTGCAACAAGAGAAGCCACCGCAATGAGAAGCCCGCGCACCACAATGAAGAGTAGCCCCCGCTCACCGCACTAGAGAAAGCCCGCGCGCAGCAACGAAGACCCAACACAGCCCCCCCCCCCAAAAAAAAGTTGATAGTTATATAGCATTATAAGACTGATTACCATATACTATTAAGATATGCCTCATTGTGGGGAGAAATAGAATTTTTTCTCCTTAACACTACGATCTGACCTATAAAATCACCTGCTTCACAGCTCCAAATATACTTGCATCAAAGCCCAGTTATTTTCCCACAATTATATTGAAGATAAAATGAGTCTTGAAATGCTAATAAAATTTCAATTTTAAGAAATTAAGACTAAACTAATACATGATTTTGTGAAGTATCCATAAAAACATATAAAGGAGACATATCTTACTTTCTTGTGTACTTTTAGGTGCAGGTGGTTTACGTGTGGCCCAATTAGTTCTGATTTGACGACCACCCAACCACTGACCTCCCATATGCACAATTGCATTTTCTGCATCCTACGGAGAAAAAGAAAAAAAACAGCAATTACAAACACAGAAAAGAGTGGTTCGTAAGACTCATTAAGATGAAATAAAACATTGGCACTTCTGGATCCAATAAATCTTATCAGTAAGTGACTCATTAAAGCAATATTTATTTATAGATTTTAAAATACCAGGATAGGGACTTCCCTGGTGGTCCAGTACCTAAAACTCTGCACTCCCAATGCAGGGGGCCCAGGTTCAATCTCGGGTCAGGGAACTAGATCCCACATGCCGCAACTAAGAGTTCGCACGCTACAACTAAAGATCCTGCATGCTGCAACGAAGATCGAAGATCCCGCGTGCAGCAACTAAGACCCGGTGCAGCCAAATAAATAAATTAAAATATTTTAGAAACAAAAAACAAAAAAAACCCAGGATAGCATTTAAGCATCAAGGGAAATTATAATTCAAACATAAAAGGAGAAAATTACAATCCCACTGATCACCAAAAAAAATGACAAAATTGTTTTCAAATATCTTAATTTTATGGTTGATTTGTAATATGACTTTTACTGAAGTATCTAAAAACTCTTTGATAACTATGGTCTAAATATCACTTAACCCCCCCAATCTACATTCTAATAGCAATGGACTATGACACAAGATTTAAAACTTAAGACGGAAGACTTGTGCATTATGATTTAGAATGCTGTAAAACTGAGTTCTACAAAAAACTGAGTTAAGGTATGGAATTCATGCCCCCTACAGTGGAAGTGAGGAGTTGTAACCACTGGACTGCCAGGGAATTCCCAAAAAATGAATTTAGGAAGTAATGTGAATTTGCAATGAATCTAAGCAAAAAAAAGGATACAACTCCTGCCCTTTATCTTACTGCTTCAATAAAATGTAAATAATTTAAGTTGTTGAAACTGTTCCAAAACATTAATACCAAAGCCCATTTTATTATCTGATGTTACAGTTAATGCAAATGCCTAGATATTTGGTACCTCGTTCTTAAATACATGCAAAAATCAAGACGAATTGCTTAAAATTTCATTTACATAATTTGCTGTAGTCATTAACGTCACAGCTACAAAACTATGGATAATAATTAAAACGGGACTTCCCTGGTGGTCCAGTGGTTAAGAATCCGCCTTCCAACGCAGGGGATGTGGGTTCAATCCCTGGTCGGGGAACTAAGATCCCACATGCTGTGGGGCAACTAAGCCCACGCACCACAACTAGAGAGCCCACGTGCCCCAGGTACAGAGCCCACGTGGTGCACTACAACTGGAGAGAAGCCCATGCGCCACAACTAGAGAAGCCTGCACGCTGCAACAAAAGATCCTGCATGCCGCAACTAAGACCCAACGCAGCCATACATACATACATAAATAAATAAAGGCATTTTAAGAAAGTTAAATTGAGATTTTCATGGTTAAGACAAATATAATTTTAAAAAACATTTATTTTATTATTTATTTGGTTATGCCGGGTCTTAGTTGCGGCAGGTGAGCTCCTTAGTTGAGGCATGTGAATTCTTAGTTGCAGCATGCATGTGGAATCTAGTTACCTGACCAGGGATTGAACCTAAGCCCCCTGCGTTGGGAAGGCGGAGCCTTAACCACTGTGCCACCAGGGAAGTCCCAAGACAAATATAATTTAACTTCCCTTCAAATTCTGATATTAGCTCATTTGTCCTAGTTGTGAGTTTTACTTCTAACACATCTTACCCTTACCAAGTCACAAATGCAAGCTTCAATATACTTCATTATAATCAGCCTATTTTTCCCAGTTATTTCCAAGCTTATGAAAAAAAAGAACGAACTGCACCTTATTATTAAAACAAAATTACACAATAGTTGTTTGTAGTCAACATCCAAAAATATTCATTAATAACTAAATTTTGCATTAAATTCAAATTGAGTTGAAAGAACATACCAGTTTATTATAAAAAGATACAAAGCCATAGCCTTTGGATTTTCCAGTTGCCATGTCTTTAACTACTCGGGCATCCCTGTGAAAAGAAGCACAGCTAAATGAGGGAAGTAAAAGTCATCCTCAAAATAAAAACTAAAAGGAACCACACACACTGTATTGTGAGCATTTTTTTAAATAAAATTCCAGTTAGCCCTAATTAACTACAGCCATTCCTGAACTCTCCCTAACGCTTCTTTACCTGTTAGAAAAAAGCAGTAGGACAAAAACATGTAATAAACATGCAACCTAATCAAACAGCCTGTGCTTTCTAAACTAAATGCTCAAATTTGAAGATTAATAGGAACAATAGTTTCCTTTTCTAATATTCTATTCGCTAGTGTCCTCTAAGGTTTACTGGTTCTATAAATTACTGTAACAATGCTAACTACTTTACCATGCAATCTCTAAATAGTTAAATGTCTTCTGCCTAGTGATACAAAATATATGAAATATTAAAAAATTGAAAAAGAGGAAAAAATAGGAATTAAAAAGGCATACATGGCCTGTTAACAGATTTCTTTATTTTTCTTGGTCAATTCTCTACCATCATTTTGGAGTTTGGGCAGCTGTAAATTTTGAAAAATTGACATTTTCAGAAATTTAAGAAAGGAGAATAAAAAACTAACAACAATGCTAAGCACACCAGTACGAAAACAACAAATTTACACAGAAATTTTAGTGAGTAAGTTAAAATGATTGGAAATATAGAACTCCACTGAATATAGAATGTTAAAATGTAAATACTAAAATATGTATATATAAATAATGTATAATAAGAATAAATAGAAATGAGAAAAAAATCTACAACTGAGTTCCAGTGTGCACAGTTCCTTGCAGTTAGCCTTCAAGATCCTGTCCATTCTTATGAGCAATTCTGCAAAATAACCAGAATGCTATTACTTTTAATTGTGACTTGGACTTTAGAAAAACTGCAGGTCTCAGGTATAAATATAGATTGAAAAACAGCAACCTGTATTATTTTTTATACTGATTTTTAAAACAGTACTACTTACCACATCTAGATTAAAAAGCAAAGTAAATATCAAAATAGAAAATTAAGAGTTAAATCTATCAAATAAATTAAATCTATAGAACAACAAATTGTAGAGAGAAATACTGTTGTTCTTAGGTGAAACGTATTTTTGTAAAGTAGTACTAAAACGTTTAACTTCAATCTATAGGAAATAAATACATAAAATAAAGTGATTTTAAGCAGATAGATAAATTGTGATAAACATTTTATAGAACTTGTAACACTTTAAATTTTCCAATATATTTGATCAAGTAACATACAGCAAAATCTGAGCACCAACTTTGTTTAAAAAAAAAAAAAAAAAAAAACACAATTGGGCCCTACCCTAGCAGAATCAAATACCATTAACCAAAAAAATCTACTAATTAATCCCACATTTATGGCTCAGACATTGAAACATTTTACTATAATAATGCTACTTTTCAGCTAAAATATCAAAACACATTTATCATTATAATTAAACATGTACATTTCCAATTTCACAATATATCCAAGGGTTTACCTACTTTCCCCATTTATAAATTCCTCCTATAATAGTTTAATACACAGTATGAATCATTTATTTTTGGTTAACCCATATCTTTAACCACCAAAGTTTGAAAACACTTGACAAAAAGCTAGACTTTATAATAAGTTTTACCACCCAAACATCTGCTTTAAAGATAACAAACAGAATCACTTAATTTTTAACATGTTATACACAGGATTAGATGAAAACAAGACCCCAAAACACTGAAATGACATTAACATTTTCAACAACATCTACTAATCAAAAAAACAAAACAAACAAAAATCACACTAACGGGAAAGAAAATCTTAATTCTGATACAAGTTAATCATGTACAATTTTGCCTATCACTACTGAATATAGTATTGATTATGATACTTACGATATTTTACCAAAGGGGGCAAATGCTGATTTGATATCTTCTGTTGTAATTTCTGGACTCAAATCCCCAACAAACACATGGAAATGATCTGAAATCAAAGCATTTGGTAATCAAATACTTAAGAAGTCAGGTACTAAACCTTTTTTAGGCAACACTAAAGGAAGAAAAAAACCTATTTGAGCTGGTAATGCTGCCAAGGATAATTTCAGAACTCTTCCACAGTAAAATGCAGCAGGAGTACTTACTGGAAGTATCTTTTTTCTGGCTACTTGGTGTTGTTGCCCAGTTTACTTTGACCTCCTAAAAATAAAGATTATATTTAATAAAATTATTAGGCATGTCATTATGAATCACAACACTTACCACTTATTAAATCATTTTATCAAGCAGGACTATTTTGGTAAAAGCACTAGGCTGAACAAAGCAAAACCATCACTTGGCAGAGCTGAATATTTGTTAAAAACTTGCTAAGAAAGAATACAAACTAATTTGACATGCAAATATATATACTCATAAGATGCCATCATTTATTATCTTACCTTTCCCAAAATTTTTCTCCCATTCATAGCAGCTAATGCAGCAGCTGCATCTCTGTGTTCATAAAATTCCACAAAGCAATATGGGTCATTGCTTGTATGCTGCAAAACAGAAAATCCAACAGAAGAGTTGACCCTTCTGCTATCGGGTTGCTGAGAAGAAAATCCAGGAAAAAACATTACTGATAGCTAGGCATGTACGAGGTGAGATTGCATAAGCTTATGAAAGCCTAACACTTTAAAAATAAGATTTACACCTATACCTGACTTTGCACCTCAGAATACTGTTGTACTCAAACAGAACTACAAAGCAGTACAGAATCATGACTACCAGCATTAAATCAAAATATAGAATTCTGGTGAAGTATGTTAAATATAAAACAGAAGTTTATATTAGACCAAACAAAACCTCAAGTTCAGATTTGAGAGATAAGGACCACTCCTTACCACTGCTCTTCTCTCCCAACATTATTTTCAAAGGGATGAATTCTATTTATGCATCATAATCCTTCATAAACTGTATCCCATGACTATAAAAAAAATACAGAAATGAACCAACTTTACAAACTTTACTCCTGATCGAAACTAGGATTAGTACTACTGATACATATAACAAGACGAGATTATGTATTTCTTTTCTGTACAAGGAAGGAATAAGAATGAAAAAAGAAAAATTTCAGATTTATAACCAGCTGTTGAAATGAAATCCCTACCTTTCAAAATCTTCTGAAGCTCTGGAGATTCTATACACTATGAATTTGGTCTTCCAAAGACCAGAAAAATATACTAGTGATTAAGAAAAGATTTTCTGAAAATGTGTCTGAATAAAATATTCCACAACAAAGCTAAAATTTTATATCACAAAACACCAATATAAGAGAGTGAATACCTAAAGAGAGGATATAAGTATATGTATAACTGATTCACCCTCCTGTACACCTGAAACACATTGTAAATCAACAATACTCCAATAAAAATTAAAAAAAAAAGTGAGTACCTAATATGACACCAATGAATATAAAACACCAATATAAGATGAGAAAGTACCTAAGATATAACAACTGTAACACCTATGAACCAAAATGGAAATGAATTTTATAAGACTGCAACCTATATTGAACAGCTATACAGTTGTACAAATATATTTTTTACATAAGGTTAAAAATATCACTATTCAATGTAAAATATCTAAAAATAACATTTAAAATGTGGAATTCCAGTTGCACTTACAAGGGATTAAAAATACCAGATAAAATAAAGCTCTTTTCAATAACCACTGGTTTTCATTCCAGGGAAGTTTTAGCAGAAAAATCCAAAATAAGACGTCTAAAACAATAGTGGTGAAGCAACCAGAAGGCATTTCCTTGAGGGGAAAAAAGTGTAATCATTAATACTGACAAGAAAACTACTACGGGCTCTCATACAAAATCCTATTGTTGTAGCCAGGTGAATGCTGTTCTTAGGAGGCAGAGAAAGGAAATAGGGAAAAGACTCCAAACAAATACGCACTCACATTCCTTTTGTAGAGGAGTTAACGTTTACCAGTAACACTCACTGAAGAAAAGGTTTAAAGGTAAATACGAAGCTAAAACTGTGCTAGTCAACTTTCCCTTGTACTCCTACCTCTTCTGCCCTGATGGTCTCTAAGGAAAACACTGTTAACCGTAGCAAAACATACAGGAGTCCAATGGAAGAACTATGATAACAACAGGCTTTAGTAAACTAGTCTACTCATGCATACTGACTTCAAATTTATCTAACTAGCAGTAGGCCAGATCCCATTCAATGCATGTACATACATGTACACACACACACACACACACACACACACACACACACACACACATTCACATCACACTGCATTTCATCTCATTTAAGATACCATTTTTTGTCACTGTCAGAGATGTTAAAATTTTTTAACATTTGCCTTAGAATTGATAATATACATTTATTATAGTATACAGGGAAAGCCAGAATCTACGATAAACAGTATCTAAAACTAAGGGGAGGAAAGGGATTTCTCATACCCTAAAATGAAATTTATGAAAAGAAACAAATAGTCTGTACTAGAGTTCATGAGTTCATGCCCTTTGAAAGCTTCCCATTTACACCACCACCAAGTGACACTCTGAAATCAACTGTGTCCTTACCATGGTGTTGACACCAATTTTTGTTGGATGACATAAATGTCAAGACAAAGAAATATGAAATTTTACAACTATTTACAAGTTCAAATATAGGAGTTGCAGAATACAGATAAATTATGAAAGTTCACTTCAAACTCCTCTACCCCTTCATATGGCTGACTGTGCACACAGGTTTTAAAACATATATGTGTCAAATGTTTCTCAAAAATTTTCTAGCGACTCTCCACTTTCTCACATTTCATTCTTTCCTAAACCCACTCCAGTCAGTTTCCAACCCAAGCATGGAAAGGAAACTTCATGCTGAGCTCACCAATGACCTCCCGGCCATCTCTGTGACCCCTTTTCTGCCCTCACCTTGACTTCCAAGCAGAATTCAAAACTGGCGACAACTCTCCTCTTCTAAATATTCTCCTGTAGATTCCACCACACTCTCTTGGTTTTCCTGTTTCTTCACTGGAGGATCTTTCAGAAAGTATTTCTTCCTCCTTAACTCAAACTATAAATGTCACTTAAGCGTTGAGATGCTCCAGGGCTCGAACCTAGGCCCCCTCTACTCTCTTCTCTCTCAGCGCGCGCTCTAGATCTAGGAGCTAGATCTTATCCAGTCCCATGGCTTCCAATTACCACTGCAAGCTAGTATCATCAACACTGGTTTCTCTAGAGTTCCAAAACAGTTTATCCAACTGCCTACATATGACGTCCATTTATATGTCTAACGCACATCTTAAAATTAACATTGCCAAAACAGAGCTCGATTCCCACCACTCCCCACCCCCAACCAATCCTGTGTCTCCCTCAGTCATGCCACGCCCATTTTAGCAAATAGCATTAACATATACACAACTGCAAAAAAGAATCTAAGGGGTCTTTCCTGATGTCTTCCTTTATGTCCCACGGCCAATCCAGTCTTACTGATTCTACCTCCAAAATGTATCCCAAACTTATCTACCTCTATTTCTATGGCTACGACTCTAAAGAACAAGCTCCCCCCACCCCACATCATCTCCTACCTAGGCTAGTGAAATAAACACAGCTGGTTTCCCTCTCCTTCCATTCTTGCCCCCTACAATCCATTCTCCATACAATAATCATTTTCCAAATAAAGTAACGTTAAAAATGCAAATAAGGGTCTCCCCTGGTGGCACAGTGGTTGAGAGTCCGCCTGCCTATGCAGGGGACATGGGTTCGTGCCTCGGTCCGGGAGGATCCCACATGCCGCAGAGTGGCTGGGCCCGTAAGCCATGGCCGCTGAGCCTGCGCGTCCGGAGCCTGTGCTCCACAACGGGAGAGGCCACAACAGTGAGAGGCCCACGTAATGCCAAAAAAAAAAAAAAAAAAAAAAAAAGCAAATAAGAATACTTCATCAGGAGGACTTCCCTGGTGGTGTAGTGGTTAAGAATCTGCCTGCCAATGCAGGGGACACGGGTTCAAGCCCTGCTCCAGGAAAACTCCACATGCCGCGCAGGAACTAAGCCCGTGCACTACAACTACTGATCCTGTGCTCCAGAGCCCGCGAGCCACAACTACTGAAGCCCGCGCACCTAGAGCCCGTGCCCCACAACAAGAGAAGCCACCGCAATGAGAAGCCCGCGCACCGCAAAGAAGACTAGCCCCCACTCGCCGCAACTAGAGAAAGCATGCACGCAGCAATGAAGACCCAATGCAGCCAAAAACAAACAAACAAATAAATTAATAAAAAAGAATACTTCATCGCCCTACTTAAAATCCCCACTGCAGAGTAAAATCCAAACACTCTGTCATGGCTCATACTGCCCTATGTGATTCCAAACCCTGCCTGCCTACTCTATTATACTCATTTCCCACCATTCACCAGGTTCCAGCCACACTGGTCTTTGGTTCCACAAATGCACCAAGCTCATTACCAACACAAGGCCTTTGTATGGGCTGTTTCCTCTGCCTCCAGCTCTTAATGTAGATGGCACCATCTTGTTACTCCTATCTCAGCTCTAAGAGGTGATTTCTGATAGTAGTCATTACCATGTTGGTCCCATACCAAACATCCATAGTCTAAAAAAGACTCATTTGATCTTTTAAAATTTGGTTGAGTCAACTGCCCACTGATTACAGATTTCTAGATCACAGATCATAACTAAAAAGCCTCAACATTCAATTATGCAACTTCAGTTCCCATCTCCTTAAGAACCTACGTTATTACTTTCACAATATAGATGCCAACTGCAGCAAGACGTCATCCCTCACCACCTAGCCTATACAGCACCAACATTGCAATCATCATCACAGAACTGTTATATTCTCTTAAAAGCTCTTACTCCTATCCAGAATTACCTTGTTTACTTGTTATTTACAATACTCCCACTAACATGTAAACTCTTGTGAACCTCACTGGTCTAGCTCTGCATTATATCCCCAGTGCTTTGAACAGTGCCTAGTACAAAGTAAATTTTTGATTAATTAAAGAAAGAATGAATAAATAATCAAAGACAGGAAGGAAAGAAGAGACAATATACCAGAAAAGAGTGATAAATATCCTTATTAGTTAAGAATGAAGATCAAAAGGCCACTTTGCTTTACATATTTTTAACAGTTCCCCTCCGTCTCAGAATATAACACAAACTCCTTAGCACAGCTCTGGCCCCTGCT